TATAAATATATATATAAATAAATATATATACTATAAATATATATAAATGAATAAGCAAACGTAAAAACTGTAGATATTAATTAGATTAAAAAGCATGCTTCGTCAAATTAGATCGTGTGTTATTGTAAATATTACGCTCTTATTTACAGACGGAATTAATATTATCTCTTAATTTTTATATGTAACATTCATAAAGAATATATAAAAAATATGAGTGATTTCTTTATATTATAAGAAATTTATCATTATATTTTTGTTATTACTTGTTGCTCAATTACGAACAAGTCTTTCATCTTTCTCTATCAATCATTCATAATACTCATACGTAGAATCGTAATTTTTAAAGCCAATTGCAACTAGATAGTACATTTCAACGAATTTCTTTTATATTTATATTTTTAGATATGGAGATGTCTAAAATTACAGATATAAATTCTAAAAATATGAATTTATATAAGTTAATTTAAGATTTTTAAGAATAAACATTTTTGATTTAATAAATAATTTACATTTGTGCATGAAACTAAGACACTTTTTCTTTATGCCATATTAGTATCATATCGAATTAGAGATAACTTCTCATTTTTAATATAATATTGCCAATATGGAGGAAGAAATATACTTAATATTATTTTAAATTTCACACTAGCTTTGTATTTTACTTCACGATAATCACACATATTTATTTTACACTATATTTTTTCATGCTATTTGTTTGTTATCAATTAATATACATTTTTATATTTTTTTTTTGCAGTAAGTCAAAGGAATTGCGTGATTGTTTGACCAATCAAGGAAGAAATCAACAATATTGCTAATACAGCGTATCATAGCGAGACAGTCTGCTTCAGCTGAATGATGCTCTTCAAAGTGTTTGCCGACTATATGCTCATGAATGGCAATAAGTTTTAAGCTACTTGGCCTCTCAAACTCAATCTTTTCTTCAAAATTCAATCTTTTCTTCAAATTGTTTTTCTTGACTGGTCGCTGCATGAAGACATTTTCTGATTTCGTTTTTTGAGCCTTTGGTGTTTTTTCGTTCGCCACTTGTATAGGATTCTTCGACGATTGAATATCAACATCATTGTTACAGCTATCTACTTTTGTATTTACGGCTTTAATATATTTATCGTCACAGAGAAGCATTGTCTGCGCAGTGGATGTCATCGCAATAATTTTGGATTCTTTCGTCACTACATCCATATCCAATGTGGAGAGTGAATCATTGAACTCATCATTCAACAAATCTTGAAATACTGTGGATTGCAAGTTTCTTTTCTTAAAGAAATCGTCGAACATTTTCCATGTATCAATACAGAGGATTTCGTCACTAAGTATCTTTAATTGGGAAAAGGGTATTATTATTATTATTATTATTATTATTATGAAATGGTGATTATTATTATTATTATTAAAAGATGATTATTATTAAATGTAATAAAAAATTAGGAAAGAGCTAATTGTTAAGTAAATCATTTATTACCTTATTGATACGTTTGAGTTCCTCTAAGAATATTGGATAATCGAATTTGTTGCCATTATGTGCTGCGAAACAAATTGGCGGTGTGAGACGTTGCAAAAAGTATATTATTAACTCATAAAGTTCACTTTTGAAAGGCTGCAATACCTGCATATCCTCATTATATAGTTCTACAAAATTACATATCATTTTTTTCTTTCAAAATTATGCCACTATATTTTACATAAAAATGTTTAATCAGTGTAGTACTAGTGACTGAATTTACCATTAAACTAATAAAATAACTCACTTGTCATGTGCTGCACCTGTACTGGTATAACTTTTTGTGGATTAACTGGGAGTACCAATTTATGTAAGACTCTCGGCAGGCAATTTTTGTTACCATTACGTATTGATTCTGTCGAGACAGCAACTAAAGCAATTTCTGTAATTCTTGGCATGACATTTTCCTGGATCAGCCCAGTTGTTTCCAAATCGAAAAATACAAACGTTTGAATGTCCATGTTAACTTCCTTGTTTCCATGTAAATATTTTCTCTTCTTTTCTTTTCTGTGTTCTATATCTTCATTATCTTATGATCTATCTGTACAACAATTATATTAATTACATAATTGTGATAAACTTGACATGTATATGAATAAATTTAATTTTAATTTTTCAAAACTTATTTTACACTTCACTACAGGATATCCAGTGAATATATTTTTGTTGGAGATAAGATCCACTCACTACAAGCATTATTCATCTAAGATGCAACATTCTATGCAGTCAAGTTTCCACGTAATTGTCTAAAATTATAAAATCATAAGGTCTTTTCTGTGGCTATTTCTATCTCTCTTTTCTTTTTCTTTGTATCTCTTAATTAATTACTAACTACTATGTTTTGAATACAGAAAATACAACAAAATATAACTATGAGAAATAGATTTGTGTGTATATGTGTGTGTGTATTTATGTGTAAGTTTCACGATTGCAGATACATTTATAACAAACTCCATTATTTTGCTCTTTCGAAAGATCTCCATGAGAAGTTATTTAAAAGTAGCTTAAATTTCGAATATATAAATAATATAAAATTAATTTTGATAATTCTTCAGAATACCTACCTTACTTCTGATTTCGATGAAATTAGATACTATAAACACTACTGTCTATACACTTCACATGACAGATTTCCTCATCTCGATAGTTGTCGACTCAATATCTTGCTTCGTAGGACAGTGCCGGACTTTTTTTCTGCCAGATTTTTTCATTTTACACAAAAATGCGTCGAATGAGCCTAATTTCATCGAAATCGGAAGTGAGGTAGCTATTCTGAAGAATTACCTTAAATTTATTTCTTACATACAGATTTCACAGTTCAATTCTTCTACTTTTCATTTCTCGTTCGCTCTCAGTTTCTTTATCTCTTGAACTCTCGAGCACCTGATAATCCTGAGATTTCTAAGAGAGATATCCCTCCTGTTCGCCATTTCGTTTTCTTTCTTTCTTCTTCCTCTTCTTAATTAATAGTTCTTGCCTCCAATGGAATAAACGGAGGTAATATGGCCAGGGAGTCGATTGTGTATCTTGAAATGAGGTGAAAAACGAAAGTGAACAAATTCACTAGAATATTCATAATTTAATTGGTCAATATCTAGTAATCATTGTTCACTTTTGTAATTTTCAAAATACACAATCGAGCTCCAGAGTATCAATCATGAAACTTTATCCCTAGGATGAAAAGTGAAAATTTTTACCATTGAAATTAATGAAGAAATTTTTCACTTTCCATCCTAGGAAAGTGATATTCTTGTCAAAATAGCCCTGTTTTTTTATTACTCTCTGAATTGATGCACACAGTGCGATAGGTTTGTTCTTTTTGACTGAATTTTTGCACCAGTTCATCTTTCTTCCTTTTCTCTTCAGGAGAAAAGAAAAGGAAGAAAGAACTGCTGCAAAAGTTCAAAAAGAACTTAATAAAAGAGACTAAAAGACTTAATAAAAAATAGAAATACCCGCAAAAATGGCATAGCCCCCCTCCCCTCTCCCCCCCTTAGCATCGGCTATCTGTCTACACGTACGACATGCATCAAGATGAATAGACGAGACGTCCAAATCTGCGATGCTTGGCTATATGTGTTTCTAGGTTCAGTCAAAGTCGGCCAAACTTTCAAAAATATATCGAATAATAGCATTCGATCCGAGATGCAACCGTTGCAGACGAATGGTTCTTCAGAACTCGCTGAAACTCGCCATCTTATTTTAAGTGCACAATTGACTGCACAATAGTGCAGTAGATGTAAGATGGTGCAGCTACGAGAACAGATTTTTTTTTTAGTCATAAGATGGTCCGCTGCGCGGCGGTGGCAGCGACCAGTTTCACGCAGTTCACGCCAGTTCACGCTGCTTACGAAAATTGGAGCACACTGTACACTGTACACTTGATTCGGCATCGTCCGGTCGAGCGATATATCCAACAGGTTATAAATGCAACCATGAGCGGTGCCTTCGTGATCGCGATTATGGGACGATAATTTGCACCTTCCCATGTTCCCGAGAATCGCCGTGATTGCGTCATCATGATCTCTGCAGCCCCATTTGTTTCGCTGTTTCTCTTCCTGCCTCATCGTTTCCTACGATGCGTTCAGGTATGAGAATATTCGTGGTAACATAAAAATGAAAATGCATAAGATTTACAAAAATTATTGTTACGTGGAAAAAAAAGCTTTTACTGAAGTATATAAAAATTAAGCCAGACACAGATTTGATAATAATTATATCGGACTGTCAAAATAATTATGTAAAATACTCGAGCATGATAATGTCGCGCTTTTGATCAGCTTGAGTATTCAATATAAATATTTAAATAGTCCACGTAATTACTTTTATCTATATGTATACAGAAACTGTGTTTCATGTGTTATCTCTGTATCCATATTCATTCTTGGAATATTTTGATATTTCAAGAATATAATATGGACACAAAGATAAGCCGCGAAACATACATAGCTTGTATATAGAAAGTGGAAATCTCAAAAGTATTGTATTATAAATTTGTATCTAGTTACATTTTTCAGCAAAATTTCTTTTTGTATAAGATTTTAGATAAGACAACCAAAAGTATTATATTTATTTGTTCTATATTACACATATCAGTTATCATTTTATGTATATTATATATATCAGTTTATTAATATACTATACAAGTATATTGATTCATAATTTTCTATGTTTTGTATTGGATAGCATATAATTTAACATATGGTAGTCTGCTATATCAGCGACATAAATATGTTAAAGTTTGAAAAAATAAACAAAACTAAGATATACCTTCATTTTATTTTCTTTTATATAGATATGATTACTTCGAGAGAAATCTGACACCGTTTATGAGCCAGTTAAAGGCGCAGGGTACTTCCACTGACTACATGATAAACATTTTTGTCACTAAGACCTTCCCAAATCATCATACGATGGCAACAGGATTTTATGCGGAAACACATGGGGTTGTAGATAATGAATTTTTTGATTCTAGTAAAAATAATACTACCAAGTATTCATATGAATTATATCATTACAACAACAATATTTTACCTATTTGGGTATGTAGCAAGATGATAATTATATTTTGGATATATATCAGATATGTTTTATATTTCATAAACATTATTTCAGACGGTTAATGAAAAAAATGGCAGACATAGTGGTACAATGATGTGGCCAGGCTCTGTGTTTGCATATCAAGGAACGTCGCCTACTTTTGCACAAGTGTGTATTGCATTAATTATATGGAGATTTTAAGAAGGTGTATCGATTATGTTAATAATTTTTTTAGGCTTTTAATGATACAATTCCGTGGGAGAAGCGGATTGATGAATTATTGTCGTGGTTTGTACATCCTACAAATCCAATAAATTTAGGAATATTGTATATTGAAGACCCAGATTACCATGGTCATGCCATAGGAATAAACAGTCCTGAATTTAATGAAATTCTCCAAAAATTGGACAATATTACCAAATATATGCACAATAAAATTGATTATTATGACTTGACAGATGCTCTTAACGTGATTCACTTAAGCGATCATGGTATGGCATCAGTTACAATGGAAAGAATAATAAATTTGACAAATTACATTAATGTTACTGATTATACATTTGTGGGAACTTCTCCGGGATTACATATCTTTCCACATCCTGGTAAGGTTGTTTTATATATGATATAATTTGCATCAAATTATTTCTATTTTACTACATCTTTTTCTTTAAATATTTTTAGGAAAAGAAGAGATTATTTATCAGAATTTGAAGTTTGCCGCAGATCAAACGAAAACGTTTAAAGTTTATAGAAGAGAAGATATCCCGAAGAAGTATCATTATGGCAATAATACTCGTGTGGGACCCATTTTTGTCATAGCTGAAGTTGGATACGCATTTCAAAACCTTTATGATGCTATAGAATTTTATAAACAGAAATTTAATATCACGGGTAATTTTATATTGTCCATATATTTAGTATTATATAGATAAGCATGTAATTTTTAACGTTGAATCATTGTTCCTATTTAGTGGATAATCGGACAGAATTTGGACTGCATGGTTATGATAATGAAGCTAAAGAGATGCATCCCTTCTTCTTTGCGAATGGACCTGCTTTTATGCCAAAATGTAAATTAGAGCCTTTTAACAATACGGACCTATTTCCCTTGTTTTGTGAAATACTCAATTTGAAATGTCCCATGGTTAATGGTACTTTATCTCACATAACAAAGTGCCTTAGGACACAATCGAAAGATGTATCAATATCTACATATAAAATGTTCAGTAAGTATCTTCTTTAATAATTAAATTTAATTATTAAATTATTAAATTATTCTTTTAACAAAAATCTAAATTTTTAAGATCTTAATAATATTTTTGTTTAGTTGCAGTTATTATAACTACTACATTAATAGGAATTTCTGTAGTAGCGACAATAATTTATAGGAAAAAACGAAGATTGGTATATAATTATAGGTAAATAATAAATATATATAATAAATATTAATAGGTCAATTTTCTAAATTTTCAAACAATTTTAAGAGTTCGTTTTTTTTTCTTTTATAATAAATTTTGTTACTTTTATTTTGTTTCATCTAAATGATGAAACACTTACAGTATTAATAAGATTTAGTAATATACAAAATTAATTTTTCAGGGATTCATATTATACGCTGGGCGAATAAGATATTACAATTGATTATATTACAATTTATTAATAAACATGACATTATTTACACTTTTGTTGGGTTTTAGTTAGTGAATTAATCTATATAACAGGGATATTATACAAAAGAGATATAAATTCTTATGTTTTCAACAATGAATAGTACAAATGTCTATCTCCTTGAATCTCTTCCATGTTATAAGAAAACATTGTTCACTAGATATAATTTAGATGAGATTATTTAGTATTGAACAGATTCTTAAAGTGCTAAGAATTTATTAATTTGTCATAAAATAACTATATAATAGCAAATTTGAAACAGTATTTCTCATTAGTATTTATAATTATTGGAATTAATAAACTACTATGTAATACTTGTGATTTTAATTGTCATTATAATTGTACATATTTCCGAGTAAATTATATAATTATTAACTTCATTCAACTTTTATTTTAGAAGAGTACTGGATGAAACTGAAAATCAACAGTTTTGGGATGAAAGTTTAATTCCACATTTATGAAAATCCACCTATCGTATAAACGTATAATTTTAAAGTTCGTAGTTTATACTTCGAGTTATCTTCATCCTCTAGTGTACAATTTGTTCGATATTTTATAAATATTACATTACGAGAAATAGAAAACCTTCGCGTTGACTTGCGTCAAGGCTTAAGCATATTTAAAATCTCCATTTATTATCCGATCTAATGACTCGTGTTGTCGAACAGATTTATCGCAGAGTTGATCGCGAGTAAGACGCGTCATGAAGACAATTTGCATTAAGTTATTCCACGTGAAAGTTTTTATTGTAAAATCTCTTGACAAAAACAACGAGATGTCATTACACATTTGATGGCAATCGCTTTGTAAAGATATAAACAGAGAATGTTTTAATATATTCAGAATTGCATGCAGATAATCTCGAGTTTACAACAGCCAATGATATCTTGTAGTATTGTTCTCCATTATTGTTAGATCAGTTCAAGTACATCATAACAAAAAATCAGCCAAATGGATACATTAGTTAAATTATATACTGTTGCTACTATGTTAATAAAAATTCTCAGAATTACATTTGGGGGTAATTAGAACTGCTCGCTTACTGCGCAAAATTTATGCACACGCGAAAATAATGTTCCCTGACTGCAAAATGTTTCCTGATGAACAAGATAAATTACGTATGCAGACTAACGTAGTCATATCGATTAGAAACGATTATGTATAAAATATGTAAATAATACCTGCAGGATTCCATTTAATTCATTTATTTCATGCAACTGTGTATGTTATTAATACACGGATGATGGAATTAATCGACGAAGGAGGACATTATATTTCGCATTCAAATTTTATTTTCTGTCAATGGCAAATAACTTTAACACGTGCCGAAAAATTGTTGTGTAATTTATTGTTACAGTGAAATTTTTATTATTACACAAATGTTTAAAATGTTTATAGATGAAATAATGATATAATTAAGACTTTATCCTCATGGATAGTATGACTTTACATTACTTATAATTTGTACTTTTTACTTTACATTGTTATCTAGTTTGTGTTATTCAAATGATTATATTAAATAGTATTTCTTTTTACAAGCGGTTTTTTTTTTATTTCAATAGTGCCGTTACCATTGATTATCTAAGTAACTGAATCAGACGTTAGATGACAATCACGGCACAATGACATTTACGTGTTAATAAATTACTGTTATAAACACAATGTTGCTTTATATGGTAACTCATTTATTATATATTTTTATGTTTTTAGATTGCATTCATAATTGTTGCATATACCATGCATATGTATGTCTTGTGTTTTTTTTGAGGATGTAAAATTAGCAGTCTGTTCTTGGTGCTTTTGAAGATTGATCTTACAGATCTCGGTCGTAAAGAATTTTTTATCACGGATTTTTTGTAAGTTTTTTTTACGATTTTTTTATCGCTTTGTGTTGTAATGTTATAATTGAACATGAATAGCTCACATAACAGCGCGAAATAAAAATAAAGAAATTCAATCGTATTATGATGATATAACTGCATATAATTTATGATGTAAGTTACGCACATTTTCAGCATTTTTTTGCTGAAAACATCGTTAATAATTATAAGATAAATAAGTAGTAAATTAAGTAAAGAATCCTAAAGTGAAGTCAGACTTCCAATGAGATCGCTATTTTATTGATAAAATGCGACACATCGACATATCTTCATATACTATATCTCTCACACATTTTTTTTAGAATAATAGCATCAAACAATTAGATGTTTAAGTTTAATTCTAAAAAACTCCACGTTACTTGTTCGTGTAAATTACTAGTTTGTAGGACCACAAATTCGTAATACAAATTATTGTAAATCTTTTTATATATCAAGCAAATGTTATGATATTAACAGCTTTGATGCCATATTCATTATATTGGATTAATAGTAAAGTAGATCTTAAACAATCTTTTTCTCTGCATAAACTCCACCTCATAGACACGTATAATATGAATTAATTTGTATACTTTTATTCTGAAAAAGGAATTTCGAATCTAAGAGGAAAAATAATTGTTATACAAAAATTATTGTGTTTAATCAGTAAAACGATTTTAGATCCCTTTAAGTATTTCTTTTTACAAGTGTTTTAAAAAAAAATTTTAATAGCGTCGGTTACCAGTAATCATCACACAGTGTCACTCAAAAATTAGGCGTTAGATCATTAATTGGCGATTAATGTGTTAATATACTAATTACTGTTATAAACACGATGTTACTTTAATGGAATTCTAAATCTGTAAAACAAAATTGTGGTCCACAGACTAGTAGTTTACACAAATAAACAACGTGAAGTTCTTAGAACTAGATGTAGAGACGTCTAGTCAAGACTATTATTCTAAAAAAAAATTTATACGTGAGATATTGATATGATAGTATATAAAGATATGTCGATGTGTCGCATTTTATTGATGAAGCAGCAATCTCGGAGTTCAAACTTTACTTTAGAATCTTCTTAACTGCTGCCGTTACAATTTATATTTTTAGATTGCATTTTCAGTATTTTTTGTTAACAAATATCGTAAATTATGATAAATAATTGTAAAAATAAGTGAATAATAAATTAAAGAGTAAAAATTTATCTATTTGATATAAGACATCATTTTACGCGTTTCTTTGTATAATATTGTTTTAATTTCGTTTTATCTATTATAATTTATTATAATTTTTGTTTCACATATATTTCAAAAGCAATCTCATATTATAACGATTACCCTCCCTCTTCAATTTAATTATGGACATTACGATTCCATGATAAATAATTAATGCTACACGATCCTCTCGAGAGATATCGCGACAATTGTGCAGATAAGATTGTTTTGCGTATTTTTTAGATTGCTTTCGAGATTGTCATTAAGGACTTAAATGGAAAATATTTCGTGACTCTGAAAATATATATAAAAAACAAAAAAAAAATATATATATATATAATGTATATAAAAAAATTATATAAAGTTAATTATATAAAAATATTATAGAAAACTGTATTGAAACGAAATAAAAATCACGATTTGATCAGATAAATGCTGCAATTAACAATAAGAATTCTGCGAACACTATGTGTCTCATTGACTCATCGGGTCAATTGTTTCATATTTCTCGAAGCAAGCGGAAATAATAAGTGTTCCCTAGTACAAAGGTATACATATACCTGAAATGTATACGTTTATACGCGAATAGAATCCTACATGACAGTGGATTTTACAGATCATATCTTTATCAAGCGGAATTTACAGACTCACATTACGAGGAATGATTTAATATTTGGTTTGTATAAAAGTGACGTTTATATTTCTCTTTACTTTTTTGCAAATTTGTATTATTCTGCACATTCTTCATCGGCAAATAGATCGCGAAATTGGAAAAATACAAGATTGAGAATAATAATTCAATCACTAAATGATCGCATTAAATAATTGTGATATTCTATTGCATAAAATCAGATTTTCAAATAAACTCTTTAACAATGATATTTTTTATCATGAATCTTACATCATATTTTTCTTTGCATTGTAATTTATGCAACTATTTTTTGCCCGTATGGAATTTATATAATTATTATTATGCATAATTATTACACACTTCGCAAATCATTTCTGTGTTATACCCAGCAGGCAAAAAAATTAACAATATTATTAATTGTGCTAGCAGTTTGCTAGCCGATTCAAATAAAATCGCATTGAAATCGACTGCATCTACATTAAATATATATCAGTGGAACTTGTCAACAGAAATCGATTAAAATTTATTATTTTATAATTTAAATGGAATGTGTCATTTAAATTAAATGTTTCGTAACGATAAATTCTTCCCGATGTCTACAGTTAAATGAATTAGTACATCTTGTTATATTTTTGTTAACATTCTACCGATAAATCCGTAGTAGATATTTTGCAAAACCTGTCTCTCAGATTTGATTGTCTGACATATTATTGCGTATTTTTTAGATTGCTTTCGAGATTGTCATTAAGGACCGGAACTTCGCTCCCATATTGTATGTATTGTTTTATATTACATAATACGTACTCTATTCTTCTCAGAATAGAACTAAAACCTGGTGCTTAACGAAAACGATTATAACGACAAATAGGAAGATCATTATTACGACACCCCGTGCGATTAATTTATAGTATCCTTATGTAGTGTTTTACTATATATTTCTAAGTAGACATCACACGTTAGCTGGGATGTTCAATCAATATCCCAAAATATCCACCGCTTGTCCACATTGTATGGGACGTGCGCGATACTAGAAAAGAGAAGAGGCCAACTCCGGTGGTTCGAGCATCAACATCGGCAGCAGCAGCAGCAACAGCAGTAATGGACGAGGGCGATCGATATGATCCGTGGTGCGTTCAATGCCACACTTGGAGAACATTGAATTGTGTTCAGTAACAGCGGCAGCAAAGAGAGAGAGAGAGAGAGAGAGAGAAAGAGAGAAAGAGAGAGGGGATATACCCCACGGTCGATGCCTATATAGCCAGCTACGAACGCAACAGATCGTTCCAGTCGTTGTCTCTCGTCTCAGGATTTCCTCGCCTCCTTTTTTTTTTTAATCTATTGCACGTCCTCGGATTAGCCTCGATTTTTCCGAGGTCTCGCGATACACTCTCACGATGTGCACGTTTAATCAAACGACCGTCTAACGAGCCGATCAGCTTCGCCGGTTCGGTTATCGCGATCGAAAGTGCTCGAGGTGGTAGCGCGCGGTGATAACGAGTCATTCTCCGGCATGTTCTCCAGGACGTAGAACAGAGAGTTTTCTCGCTGTCACCGAGCGGAAGCTGGGAAGGAGTTTCTTAATATATAAGTGCTTCTGTTTAATATTAAGTATTTCGTTCTGCCGCGCCGCGCGGATCAGGCGTCTTAATTGTGCGCGCGTGGCGCAGCATCCCGAAGGCTGGATCCGATTCGTAGCACGAAGAAACTGTTACCTCCTATTTTTTCCCGCGGAACTTCGGAGGTCTCGGTTGACAGCGACATGCCGCCGCAGGAGAAGTTTCCGGCGTCCGCCGGGGTTTCCACCGGGGACTTGTCCCCGCAAGACGCGAGCCCCGATGGAGGTCTGTCGACCTCGGCTTCGTCCGACGGACTTTCCACCGTCAAGGGTCGCAAGAGCGATGACGATCAGGATGACCAGGAGCAGCCCAAAGACATAGACTTTGACGACCTGCTACCGCACGTAGGTGAATTCGGCACTTATCAGAGGATCCTGTTTGTGCTGATGATACCGTTTGCCTTCTTCGTCGCCTGGGTATATTTCTCACAAATATTCATCACTCTCGTGCCGGAGGAGCACTGGTGCCGTGTGCCGGAATTAGAGGATCTCACGGTTGAAGAAAGGTAAATAAATAGTGTTTGTTTTAGGACTGTCCTTTAAGAATTATCAACAAAGAAATTAAAGCGATAATGATATAATATAAAAGAAATAAAGAAAATTTAAGAAAATTAAAATTATAAAGAGACAAAAGAAGGTAATATATGGTATAAACTCAGTGAATGATATAAAAATGACATGTTCAGAAATAATACAAAGTAGAATCGAACATGATGAAAGGTAGGTGGACATTGAAAGCATCGTCGCGTTTTCGCGCTTTAGCATTAGAAAAAAAATGTTTAAATAGTAATCTACTGCAAAGCAGATTTTATCGTTAAGTGAATTGTATAACAACTCATTCTTTATACAATACTATCATAATAAACGTTTGATAGAAGAATTACATGCTTTTTTTTGTACGAGTATGTTACTAGTTAGATGATTACTACTACTTTTAATTTT